TCTCTCTCTCTCTCTTTCTCTTTGTCTCTCTGGTGGGAATTGTTATTGTCTCTATAAAATAATCTTATAAGGAGTTCGGTCTAGACCTGCTCTATTTGAAAAGTGTCCTGAGATAACTTCCAAATGAATTGGCGCTCTACAAATAAAATTGAATTAAATTGAATTAATTTCCCGTGTAATGACAAATGTACGGGGGTGTATTTATATATAACTCACCTGTTTAAATTATATCAAGGCTTAAAGTTATGCATAATTAAGGTCATGGCCACTTTGAGTGACAGGTGAGTGCCGTTACAGGCTGCCATGGAGCAGGGTTATAGGGGTTTCACTTCAATTCAATTTGAATTGAGTTAGTTATTAAAAAATATATCATGTAGAATGGTATTGTGGTTGCATATGTTTACACTAGGTGTTATATCCTCTCTGTAGATGTAAATGTGGTGTGAACACTTACCCATCCTCCCTTTTCTCGTATCTCAGGGCAGACGACCCTCTCCACGTAGGCCCCCACACACTCCTTCAGCCGTGGCAGGACCACCACCATGCCCTTCTCGTGGCAATGCATGGCCATCTGCCCAGCCAGCACGTACACTGACAGCACCGCGCTCCAAGCCAGGTCCCTGCGCCGCCCCCCAGGGATGGGGGGAAAGAAGTGCTCGTCCAGGATGCTCACAAGCATGGAGCAGGCCGTGTTCTCTGTCACGTCCTGGAAGACACGAGGCCAGCGCCTGAAGAAGATGGGGAAGCGGGTGAGGAGCTCGTCTCCGGCGTGGCGCAGGGCCGCGGTGCAGGCTGTAGGGGCCGGGCCCACGGTGCCATCTGCCCCCCCTGTGGTCACATAGTCTATGTAGTCATGGGCCATCAGGAAAGCCTCTCTCACTAGTGGGTCAGGACTGTTCAGGCCCAGTCTGGCCTCTGGCACCTCAGACTGGCACATGGTCGCTGCTAATTGCCACTTTGCTAATCACCGAGCTGTACTCTCAGTGGGCCACAGATGACAGCTCCATATTCATTCTCTGAGTCACATCAGCCTCTCATGGTGAAGTGGGGATGCTGTTAATGTGAATTATAAAAATAATCACAGCATTGAGAAGAGGAGAACAAACATGCAGAAAATGAAGTGAGTCTTTAAAACTCACCTCTTCTTCAATAAGATGAAAAACAAACAGCTAGAAAGAGTGGTGGAGTCCAGAAGAGTGTGTCCGTTCAGTATGTGTTGCAGTCAGACTGGGTCACCCAGTCCCCCTTTGCCAGCTAAATATAGAGCTCTTGTTGGAAACTGACACTGATCTCCAACCTCTCGTGCAAAATCAGGCCCGTCCTGACACACAACAACGTTCCAACACAGGAGGCAGGGCTAGACACACAGCACAGAGGGGCTGCACACAGAGGGAAACAGGTTTGCTTTACAAGAGCAAACGATCAAATGATGATGGGATACAGCTTTCAGTGAGGTATCAACATCATGCACATACTAAGAATGGTTGTTCATCTTGTATAAGATATGCACAGGAATATAACCTCTTTTCTGTCTCATTTAAGTCATTGTGTCTGTATTTTGAGCATTCATGATACCATATTTCCAATCTTATATTATATTGCGTTTGTGAGCTTTAAACTAAATGAATCATAATTTTGCCCATGAGCTTATTCTCCTGAATAATTTGGACACTCTTTCAAACAACTTTGAATACAAATGAGGTTTTAAAGAATCAGTTCGAATTCAAAAAACAATAAATTCTCACTTACAGCTAGTAGTGTAGTCATGCAGATGGTTTTATTTGTCCAGGTTTTGAGACATCTGCCTCTGAGATTTACGCCTCCACCGCTATACAATGGAGGTGAATAGGATATCACTTGTGGTGCTCACAGCATAAATTTAAAACAACAAATGTAAAACAGTGTCCTCGTTACTCTTAAGAATTTACTCTTGCTGTAAATAGTGTTTGTTGGAACTACTTTCAAACAAAAGGAATCATCTCTATGCAATTTTTTTTTCATTAATGAAAAACATTTTATAATAAAAGATGATTAGAAAATATAGCACAGAACAGAAAACAACATAGAACAAAATGTGAAATGGTAACTTCAGGTAACTGACGTCAATAAAGGAACTGGATATTAATTGCACACAGACATAAAAGCTCATGTACTTTTTGGAGTAGCCCATTGTTCCCTTCACCTTTGTGAGATCAACCACATAATGCATGCCTTAGGTTGTTCCTCACTGTTATCTATACACAAAAATGGGATATTAGCCAATAAGGCTAGTTGCTAACAAAGCCTTTTTCACAGAAGATATTTTGACAAGTAAGTGCTGTAAATAATAATAACCTGCATGATGGCTGAATTCTATTAGCTGCTTCCGTTTCAGGTATTGTTCTTGGTATTGGTCATACTGGCTCACTGTCACAATGACATGGCTTACTGACGTTACGGACATTCTGACGTGCCATAGCAGGACACTCACAGGTGTATTAATGATAGCTGCATTTCACTTGGATGAGATCCTGCTATTGTGCATGCCTTCTCACTGTCATGTCACTGGGACACTTAATAGAAATGAGCCACTGTTACAGTTATTAAGTCCAACTGTGTTTTACCAGTCAAAATGTCTGTTGTGCAACCACTCCACTGAAACAGAGCCATCGTCAAACCTGCAGTAGGTAGTAGTAGGTCACTTTTTTTAAACACTTTTTCTCTCATATTTGCTGAAACTTTAACTATATCCTGATATATCACTATATATATTGTACATGAGACAATCTGTAAAAAGAAAAAAAGAAAAAAAAGAAAACTGAGATAAGATAGTTAATTGTTGAATCTCATTCCCAGGTTGTCACATACCAACACTTTTGAACCCTGGGTATTTAGTCAAGTAGAAGTATACTTATATATACGAAGTATACACAGATACTTGTGTAAAATAAGACTCTGGTAAAAGTAGAAGTAGTGATTCTCCAGACTCTCCACCTCCCACCCTAGGGTGGAGCAGAAATCTAAAGACAGATATCTCAAAATCAGACCAAAACTATCTGCATGGAGAATACCAGTATGTTAGTCTTCCTATTTGGGTGAAGTTCTCCTTTAGTGCAGCATGTCTCGTATTTCACCACATGGGAGCAGTAATGTATTACTACAGACACACCACTTCTCATTTACCACTGTGTGTGCGTGCGCCCATGCGTGCGTGTGTGTGCTTGGAGCTGTGGCAGGCTCACATGGAATTTGATAGCTCTCCCTTGGATTTGAACTCCAACCACTTGTTTACAATGAACTTCAAAATAAAAGCTGTTTCAGTGTTGAGTCATACATGCAGGCCAATTAACTCTTCCCACATGTTCATCAGTCATTTCACCTCTCTATAAACTAAAAATATATGTAAATGCAAACACAAGGAGCCGTTGTAATTAGATTGGAGTAAATGTATTTAAATTGTGGATAATGCCTATGAGATCTCTGCCACGGACTAACACTCAGGCACGCATGGCTGAATCTACATTGTCCTTTAAGTGTTTCCTCTCCTTTTATGAAATGGCTTTATGCGTCACATGGGGATCAATCAAATGCTCCATGTATGGCATTTATGTACGTTGTTAATATACTGATTTATAGTGGAGCGAAGACATGATCAAGTGGTACCATTAGCAGCTCTGTGTTCTCTGGCCATCTGGCGCAGCATATATTGTGAATGTGCATGGGAGGGAAGATAAGGCTAACCATCCAGAAAGAACCCTAACCCACCCCCTGCGCGCACACACACACACTTGTGATGTACTATGAGAGTGAGTGTGTAAAATGGCTACCTAGTTGTTCCTCATTGCTGAGCCAGGGAACAGGGGAAGTGACATGGTTGATAGAGACTCCTATCAGGCCTCTCATATGTGCATGTAGCAACATCTGCAAGCAGGGGGAACTTCCTGTCTCCTGTAGAGAGCTTTTTGATGTGCAGACGGTTGCATTGGAAAGGAAGGTGCAAGATTAACAGGAAACGTGCTGTAACTCACTGTTGCCACCTGACTCCATAGAGCACTTTTCCTACAACAAGACTGAGGCTGTAGGCTAGACCGCCTCCTACACAAGCAGTACTGATTTGGCTAACATGTACCATGTGGTGCACAGGATGCAAAACAATAGCAAAATCTGCAGCATGCCAAAAATACAGACTGACTCCAGTATGCTTCGGACCAGTCTACCTTGCCTACTGTGTCCCACAATGCAAAGCACTGGAACAATCATAACAGTCAACAACAGGAAGTTTTTTGCAAATGCTATTTCATCATCAAAATTCACTTCTGAGAATTTTTGAGGCAAGGAATCAACAGTGTAGATTTCCAATATTAGCAGTTTTTAAAAAAAACTGAAAATGTGCTCCAACGTTTTCAGAGTTGAGTTGCTCCACAAGCGCCTGCAGCTGTAGCTAACTCAGACACACAGCACACGTTACATTTGCTGTGAAATAATGCGACAAAAAGCTGGGGAATGTGGTTTCTTTCAAATGTCGAAGAGCCATCTTTTAAGTAAATGTTCAAAGCAGTGGTTTGCCATTAGCCGTGCTATTATTTACAATTATATATATATATATATATTTATAATTTGATAGATAGATAACATACTACTACTGCGTTTGTCGATAAGTATGTAGTCTACGCTTGTACCTGTGAGGCTTTAGCTAAATGCTAAAACCTGCTCACAATGACATTGCTAACATGCCGATGGTTAGCAGGTATAATGTTTACGATGTTGACCATCTTAGCTTACCATATTACATGCTCACATTTGCTAATGCACACTAAACACAAAGTACAGTTGAGGCTGGTCAGAATGTCATTAGCTTTTCTGGTATTTGGTCATAAAACAAAGTATTGGGAAAATAAATGTGTGGAACAAATTGTATGGCAATCCATTCAATAATTGTTGAGACATTCCACTCAAAGACACAAATATCAACCTTACGGTGGCACTGGAGGTACGTTATGCTGCTAGCATGGCTAAAGGCATGCCCCCACCCATTGCAGCTGCATTATTTTCTCAGAATATAACCAGTGCTCTAGAGCTGAATGCATTAATAAAAAAAATAATCAGCAAGAGTTTTAATCATTTCTGAATCTTTCAAATTATTCTAAGCATAGAAAACACAACCATTCTTATTTTCAGATTATTATAAAACTAATGAAAACATACCTATGAATATTCAATTTCTGACAATAGATCCTGTCACTCACAGGACCTTTAAAAAAAATGTATATACTAAATGATTAAACAATAATAAAGAAAACAATGAACTGATTCATCAATAATTAATATAATAATAGTTTCAGCCTTACAGTACTCCTTTGCTAGAATAATACTATCTTGCCCCAGGAACTTCCCTAAACAAATTTACAGTTAATCAAATTACCACTAGTTGATAACTCAGGAGAGTGAACATGGGACTTCTTGGTTTCCAGAGCAGTTGCCTGGTTGGACATCAAGCCTCGCATGGCATGCATCCTGAGTTGATTTATATATTTGCTTACTTTGTTTTATTTTGAGATTTTAATCTTCACCTCCTGTTGAGTTTTTTCTCCTTCTGGTTAATTTAAATGTACCAGAGAGGAAAAGTAAATTAATTAGAGTCTATTATCAACAATAATTCAACAGCGCAGCTTTAACCTTGGGTCAGGGGATAAGAGTTTCTCCCAGCAAAGAATGAGTTGATAAGGGCCAGACAGGCCTGCATGGGTGGATGCTATTATCACGGTTCACACCCCCCTCCGTCTAATGAACACAATGGTTCCATTTCTGTCATTTTCATCCCTGCTGAGGTGTTTTTGTCGGTACCTATCTGCTCCAGGACACCACACACACAAGTGTCTGCTATAATTTAATCCAAAGCATTACAAACCTACCCGCGCTGCTAATAGAGGAACACAATGCAAATGGCAGAGCTGCAGAGGAGTTTTTAACTGAAGGCGACAGCGATCAGTGAAACGAGGTGTGCATCGCCACAGAGCAAATTTAACCACTTTTGCAAAGCAGAATCGGCATGGCCTTGTTCTGCTGAATGGAACAATGTTGTGTGTGTGTGTGTTGTTATCTTTAAGCAGCATAAGAGTATCTCTCGCTCTCAGGAAGTGGCTTATCAACATCTACACAGAAGTTGAAATGCACTTTGAAGTTCCTACCCATTGCAAAGAAAAAAATAGAAGGCTCCAATGAAAGCTGCAAGGTGACAGAGAAAGGTTGAACAAGGCAGACAGATGAAAACCGACCTCCTCCTGCTCCTCCCCACC